ACACACACACCCCCACCCACCCACACCACCCTTCCGCCCTGTCAACGGAGCCCGCCAGCCAGGCGCTGCCTTTGCCCGATCCCATCCCGCCCCGCGTGCTTGCCTGTGCGGCTGCAGGTGCGGCAGACGATCCAGGAGGACTTGGGGCGGGTGCCCGAGGAGCTGTTTGCCCAGTTTGCGCACCAGCCGGTGGCCAGCGCCTCCCTGGCGCAGGTGCACGAGGCGGTGGACCATGACGGGCGGCGGCTGGCGGTCAAGGTGCGTGTTGTGTGGGGCGGCTGCGGGCCTGCGGGCGCTGCATGCGGCTGTGAGTCTGTCACGCTGCGAGCCTGTGAGGCTGCGCCCAGGTGGGAGAGCTCCCCTGCTGCCTGCCCTCATCCATCCACACCCTGCGCCCCATCCCTCGCGCCCCTCCTGCCCCGGCTGCTCCACCCGTCGGCCCCGCCGCCCCCCGCTCCTGTCCCCTCCCCCCCATCTTGCAGGTGCAGCACCGCGGCCTGCGGGAGGCCTCGGCTCTGGACCTGGCCACCATCGACTTTCTGGTGCGGGCGGTCAAGGCGCTGGCGCCCGATCAGGACTTCACGTGGCTGGTGGAAGAGAGCAAGGAGAACCTGCCGCTGGGTGAGTGGGTGGGTGGGCTGGGGCTGGGGCTGGGGGCTGGCTGTGTGGGCGGGGGCGTGGAATGGACGCCGCTGGGTGTGGTGGCTGTGTGGGCTGGGGTGGAGCGAGGGCGGTGGCTTGGGGTTTGCTGGCTTGCCCGTTAGTCGTCTCGTGAGCTTGGGGTACGGCTGGAGGGGGTGGGAGCTCCCCTGTATCCATTAGGGGTTAGTATCAAGGCCCCACCACCACACCACACACACACCACCACCCCTGGCTGCAGAGCTGGACTTTCAGCACGAAGCCGCCAACAGTGCGCGCTGCGCGGCCAACCTGGGCAGCCGGCGGTCGCGCGTGCGCGGGCGCGTGGCAGTGCCCGCCGTCGACCTGTCGCGCACCTCACACCGGGTGCTGACGATGGAGTTTGTGGAAGGTGAGGCGATGAGCTGGTGTGTGTGTGTGTGTGTGTGTGTGTGTAGCGGTGGTGCTGGTGTGTGTGTGTGCGGGTGCACGAGCGGCGGATCTGCCAGTGTAGCCTCCAAGGGGGGCGCAAGCCTCCGGGACAGATGCGCAGCAGATGTGCGGCCAAGCCGGCCCTCGCACCCTACCACCCTGCCCCGCGCCGCCCACCCCGCCGTGCCCTGCAGGCGTCAAGGTGACGGATGCTGCGGGGCTGGCGGCGCTGGGGGCGGAGGCGGGGGAGGTGTCGCGCCTGATCAGCGAGACCTTCAACGAAATGATCTTCACCTTTGGAGACGTGAGCCCCGGGCGCAGGGCTCGCCTAGGCAGCCGTCTAGCTGGCGCCCCCTCACGGCTGCGTGCCAGCCCGCTTCTCGTCCGCGGTTGTTCGGCCGGGCCCTGCCGCCCCTGGTGCCCTACCATGCCCTCCCCACCCCTCGCCCCTCTCTCTGCAGGTGCATTGCGACCCCCACGCAGCAAACCTGCTGGTGCGGCGCACGCCAGACGGGCCAGGTCCCGCCCCCGCCGCCGCCGACAGCGCCGGCGGCAGCAGCTGGCAGGGCGGGGAGGGCGGGGTGAAGGCCAAGGGGCGGTGGCAGCTGGTACTGCTGGATCACGGGCTGTACCGCCGCCTCACGGATGACTTCCGCCTGGAGTACGCCGGCCTGTGGCACTCCCTGGTATTTGCAGGTACCGGTACCGCCGCCGATTATGAGCCTCATCCACACAACCGCACCATGCATGCTAGCACTGCCTCCAAGCTCAAGCTCCCTCCCACCACCATCTGACTTGCCCCGCTGCCACCTGCCCTGCCCACCTCATGTGCCTGCAGACGAGGCCGGCATCCGCAAGCACAGCACGGCGATGAATGCGGGGGATGCGGTGCCGCTGTTTGCTGGCATGCTGACTCAGCGGCCGTGGGAGGAGATCACCAAGAAGGAGGTGGGCTGGGGCCTGTGCGTGATATGTGGGATGTGTGCGGTGGTGGTGCGGTGTGGGGGAGGGTCTCCGCTGCTCAGACCACGGCATCCGGCACGCAGCAGTAGCCAATGACGTCAGCCTGCCTGCTGGCGTGTGCGGAGCATGACGGCCCCAGCCGCCCGGCCGTTTTTGCTCGCCACCCACGGCCCGCGGCCCACCCGCCTCCTCCCCCCGCCCCCCTGCAGCCCTCTGAGCGCCTGCGCCTGCGGTACACGGCGGAGGAGCGGGAGCGCATCCAGGACTATGCGGCGCAGTACGCGACGCAGATTGGCGACCTGCTGCGCCGCATGCCCCGCCCCCTGCTGCTGCTGCTCAAGACCAACGACTGCCTGAGGTGGGCGGGTGGCCGCTTCCGGCATGCGCGTATGTGCGTGGTGTGCATGTGGGACAGCGTGGGCTGAGGCGGGGCATGCACCGCAGGACCCCTCTGCAGCCAGCTGGCCAGCGGTCGAGTAGGCGCTGCCCTGCTCAATCGTGCACCTCTTCGCTAATGTCTGCCTGCCCTCCTGCCTGCCTGTTGGCCCGGCAGGGCCGTTGACCTGGCGCTGGGACGCCCCGCCGTCAACTCCTTTGTTATCACCGCCCGCGAGAGCGCCCGCGCGCTCGCCTGCCACCGCCTGCGCCACCGCCCGGGGATGCTGTCCCGCCTGGCGGTGGCCGCTGACCTGGCGGGGGTGGAGGTGCGCATGGCGGCGCTGCGCCTCGTCGCCTGGCTGGCCGGGCTGCAGCTGGAGCTGGAGGCGTGGCTGAGGGGCGGCGGCGGCGCGGAGCAGCGGGCCGCGCTGGCGGGGGCGTGACCCCTCAACAGCGGCCGGCGGCACCTGCGGCGCCACGCGGCTGCCATGAGCCTGCCTGTCCCCAATCCCTTCCCCCTGCTGCTCCTGCTTTCCGTCCTCCGCTTGCATCTGCCTCTGCTCGCGTGCGTGACCAGCCCCCGCCCTCCTCTACCCCTTTGTGTTGCCACCACCCAACCCCGCTTGGACTCGGATGCCCACTTCACATGTGGCGTGCACTGACCCCCGCTTGGCCCCCAGCCTGCACCCGCCAATGCCGGGACTCATTTCATTCAGCGGTGTGGAAGAAAACAACGTCAAACCCCCGCATGAACCTGTCCTAGCAGGCAAAAGTGGAAGTGGACTATCTAGATCGGCTAGGTGGGGCTACAGACGGGCTGCCTGCAGGGCGGTGCTGCCGTGCGCCTCAGTACCCTTCAGTACCCCTGGTACGACACCGTGATGTCGTGCAGCGGCAGCCAGCGGCGCAGCAGCGCCGCCGTCACGTCGTGCGGCGCCTGGCCAAAGGCGGAGGAGAAGCCGTAGACGGCGACTGCTCGCTGCTGGGTGTAGTGCTCGATGCGGCCGCCGCCTACCGTGCCCAGCAGCAGGCCCGCGCCGGGCGCCGCCGCCCGCACCTCCGCCGCCGTGGCTTGCAGCACGTGGTTGTGGTAGGCGGCCCGGCTGTCGCCGCGCACCAGCAGTTTGCTGTGGAGGCCTGCAGAGGGCAATGGGTGTGAGTGGGGGAGGGGCTGGGCTGCTCCCTCAACGCGTGCTGGTGCCTGCCGAGCTGCTGCCGCCGTGCCTGCTGGAGCAGCGCTGAAATAAAGGCTGCATAACACTCACCGTCAGGGCTGCTGAGGCGCAGCAGCACATACCTGCACAGCCAAAGCAGGGGACAGGGCAGTGTGGGTGTGGCAGCCGGCGTGCCGGGCATGATTGCAGGCATGCGTTGCCGCCTTCAGGCCGCCTGCGGCTGCTTTGTCACGGCTCTGTGCTGCTCCGGAGGCAGCCCCGCCAGCTCTGCACCCCCTCCGAGGCTCACTTGAAGGAGCCCTCATCGATGAGCACATCGGGCACCACCACCAGCGCCGCCGCCGCCGCCGCCGCATCCGCGCTCGCCCCCGCGGCCTCCCTGCGCCGCCGCTGCCGCACGTCGCGCAGCCAGCTCGTGATGATGGCTGAGGCCAGGGCATACCTGCCTGGGATGCAGAAGTCGCATGGCGGGGCGCCGCGGGAGGCGGCGGGCGGCGCGCCGCCGCGCACCGCCGCCGCCAGCCAGTCGGCGTGGAACCAGCGGGCATCCTCCAACTCCTCTGGATCCACCTGCACAGCAGAGGGGTGATGGCGTGGGTGTGGGTGGGCTAGACGGAGGGCCGACCGGCTGGGATTGGTGCAGCAAGGGAAAGAGCTACGGGATCACTCGCGGGTGAGGGCTCGCGCCAGCGCCAGGCCGGACGACAGCAGCGCAGCGCTGCACACCTGGATGGGCGGCAGCTGGGGCAGCAGGTAGCGCTCCGCCTCAGCGGGCAGCAGGCCGACCTCGCGGGCGGCAAACACGGCGGGGCCCGACAGCAGCGCAAGGCCGTGGCGCGCCAGCGCGGCCGCCGCCTGCGCGTTGCCGTCGCCGCTGAGCTGCTGCGCTGGGGCGGGTGGAGGCGCTGCTGCTGCCGCCTCAGCCATGAAGCCAATCATGAGGGACTGGGGGAAGGGCCAGGGCTGGCTGCTGTGGTACCGCACAGACGCCAGATCGACAGCAACACCTGCGCATTGCAGCACGGCAGCGCGCATCTTGGGCCTTGCAGTAGCAGCCAGCTGGGCTGCTCTCTCTTGCTGTGATGTGCATGCCCATCCACACCCACACCCACACCCACACATCCCCTCCTCCACCTCCCAGCCTCCTCCCCCACCTGACTCCTCCATCACTTCCCTCCCCACAGCCTGCTCCAGCGTCTCGCCCACCTCCGCAAAACCTGCGGCAAGCCGGGCGCACATGCCATGAGCAACAAGCCTGCGGCGCTGAAGGGGCAGGCAGCAGGACCCCTGAACAGAGCGCCCAGCGTGCAGGGCCGACGGGCAGGCAGGCAGGAGGGGGCCGCACCTGCCAGGCACGAGTAGCGGCCTGCATCCCAGGATGCCTTGCGCCCCAGCAGCAGCCAGTCGCCGCAGCTGACTGCCACAATCACAGCAGGGTCGATGCGTGGGTAGACGCTGCGGGGCCGCTTGCCGGGGGACGCCTCCGGCGAGCGCGAGTGGCCGCCGCTGGCGACTTGCTGCAGGTAGGCAGCAGCGGGAAGGATGCGGGGGAAGGATGCGGGGATGATGAGCCAGGCGCGGATGCGAGCTGAAGGGGCACGGCAGCAGCTGCAGTAACAACAGCGGGCTGTGTTCGCCGGCAGGGCGCCCCACCCACGCACCGTCTTTGCTCCCGTCCTCCCGCAGAACAGGGCGCTGCCGTGCCACTGCACGAGGCCGGCCGCCAGCGCGGCGACCGCGGCATCTCCTCCCGTCATGTTCTGCCCCTCCCGCCGCACATCCACCCACGCGCCCACCGCAGGGGCCGGCTGTCCGCTCGGAGCGCCGGCGTCGCTGCCGCTGCCGTTCTTGCTGTTGCTCCTTGGGGCCGGCACTTTCGGCAGCAGGTGCTGCAAGTGCTGCGGTGCCTGCACCGCAAACACGGCTGACCCCTGTGCATCGAGCCCCAGGAAGATGAAATCCACTTGCTGCTGAAGGCCAGCAGGCATGGCTGCCCGCAGCTGCTGTGTGCTGGTGACCAGGGGAAGCCAGCGCGGCTGCCCGCCGTCGGGCGCCGTGGCCCCGGATGCCGCAAAGCTGTGCGGGTGCAGCGCCAGGGCGCTGCCTGCCGCGCTGCTGCTGCTGCTGCTTGGTTCTGCCTCCGGCGCTGGCGCCGCCAGCAGCCTGTGGTGATTCATCAGCACCACCAGGCTGCTGGGCGCGTCTAGGAGCTGATCCAGCTGATCCTGTTCCTTGCGCAGCGCGCCGATGCGGTCGAGAGGCAGGCCGGCAAAGTGCGGCAGGCCTGCCAATGAAGCGGGTTGGCCCTGCGAGGGGCTGCTGCTGAGCTCATCGGCGCTGTCCTGCGTTGCAGCGGCTGCTGTGTCACTGGCCTTGGCAGCGGAGCTGGCATGCCGCCGCGTGAACAGCCTAGACGCAAGGTGCCGCACGCCTGGGCTGGAGGCGGGAGGGGGCGCCGGCGGCAGCGGCGCCCTCGCCAGAACCCTGCACCACGGCGCGGCCAGATGAGATCTGTGTCAGCGGCACTCCGGCACAGCCAGACTGGCACGCAGGCATGTGCTCTGTTCTGATGGATTGGCCAAACCTGCTGCCACCCGTCGCCACTGCCGCTGCCTTCAACATGTTGTGTTGTTCGAGAAAGGGCGATCAAACGGCGCCTGCGGGTCGGTAAAGGCTGGGTCAACTTGGCCAGCGGCCTGCCGCGGCCTGCCGCGCTGTGGTGATGAGGTCGCAGTTCTTGTCATTGTTCCCACTCCAAAAGATCTTCACATTTTGCAACGCCGTTGCCAGAGCACTCATTCAGAAGCTGCCCATCAAAACAATAACGCAACTGCTGATAAACTCCACAGGGGCGCCACTCTCCTCACGCCGCCACCGCCTCGGCCGCGGGCTGCCCCGCCGGCTCTGCCGCCAGCTCGCCCTGCGCCGCCACCGCCTTGGCGCGCGCCTCGTTTATCTTCTCAACCATCTGCGCCGCCTCCAGCTTGGACACCAGCACGTTGAGGCTGCCGCGCCCCCGCCAGCACGCCACCGCCAGGGGTGCCTCGGCAGCCAGGCCGCCCTCTGTGACTGCACACAGACGCATAACACAGGGGGGCGCCACCAGAGGTCAGCCCAGCTGCTACCAAACACTTGTGGCTGGTGTCAGGGATCGAGAAGGCAGCTGGATTCTGCCCTCCCCACCCCGCCAACCGATCAACAGCTGCCATGCCACACGCGCAGCTGCCGCCCCGCCAGCCAGCCCCGCCAGCCACCCCGCGCCGCACCTGCGCCGCTCTCGGGCGCAAAGCCCAGCATCGCTGCATCCTGGGCCCGCATCAGCGCCACGCAGCACCCCATGTCCACCGAACGCAGCTGCTCCAGGGTGGCGGGGTCGCCCAGCGTGAAGCGAGGAGCGGCCTGCGCCGTGTCCGCCGCCGCCTCCGCCGCAGCAGGCGGCGGCTGCGCTGGCTCTGCCTCAGGTGCTGGCTCAGGCGCTGGCTCAGCGCGGACGAAGGCCACAGCCTGCTCCTCCTGCTGCTCCTTTTGCTGGGCTTCTGGCGCCGCCGCGGGCGCGTCCGCCGCGGGAGCCGCCTCTGCCGCCGCCGCCTGCTCCTGCTCCTGCTGCCCCTCCTTCTGCTTGCCCTTGGTGATGTGCACGCGCAAGCCCTCAGGCAGGCCCACCGTCCTGCAGGGCGGGCGCGCCACGGTGCACGGGCATGCTGCGGTGAGGCTGCCTCAGGAGCAGGGTGCGTGCGGGTGCGCGTAGTGATGTGCCCCGGGTGTGCGGAGGCAGCGGCTGGCTGGCCCCCACACGCCTCTCCCTGCCCCCACGCACAAGCAGCCCCAACCTGTACTTCAGTACCGCCAGCAGCTCATCCAGCGTGGGGTGGAAGCGCTGGCGGGTGACGTGCGGCAGCAGGGCGGGCAGGCCGTCCTGGGAGAAGCGGTACAGGCAGGGCACCAGGCCGTCCTGCGTACAGGCAGCGCAGGCAGGGCGCCCAGCCGCCGTCACACGTGCCCCTGGGCTGGGCGCCGGCACCCCCGCCACGCCGGCACCCTCGCCACCCAGCCGCACGGCAGCACGCTTGCCCCGCTGCCCTCCACATTGCCCCGCCAGCCCGGCCCCCCGGAGCAATCCCCCAGCCCCATCCACCAATCCCACGCCGCTGCAGAGTCCCAGGTGG